CAGCTTCAGGATGTTCATTAACTAAATACTAAAATTCCAATAAATGACATCCTTCCTAAATTACATTACATACTTGCTGAAGGACTTCTAAATCTCTAACAACAGAAAATGTAGTCATCCATTCATTAACTTCTTTCTTTTCATGATACATCATTCCCGTGTACAGTAGAGTGACTCCTGTATAAGAATTATAAATTAAAACATAATAACTGGGATATATATACCTTTGTCTTCATTTGGTTTTTGTTTCACTTCATCATCAGTTGATTCATTGCTAACATTAGTTGCACCTAATAATACAAAACCTCATTATGAATCTACTTAATAAACTATACAATGTATACATACCAGAAGTAGACTCAACTTCTTGTACTTTTTGATTAGACTCATCAGTTACTGATTCTATTATGAAAATGAAACTTTATACAGCACAATTACGATCACACATACCTTGAGATAGTCCAGTATTTATTGGTGAGGCAGTTCTCTCAATAGTCTCTCCTGCTCCATTACCACTATCATTATGTGTGTCATCAGTTGATCCTATTATTGTACATTATTAATAATAAAACACTATTTCCATCATACATGTACCTTCAGGTGGTGTCTCATAACCTTCCTCACTCTCACTGTCACTAGGTGTGTCTCCATTACTCATCTTAGCTACAATACCCATACAACTGAACTGCTCACGCTTTATTGATCCGTATCTTTTCCCAACTCTAAAACACCCTCCTTCAACTATACTGAACTGGTAAGGAGACTTCAGTGGAGCTCTCACAAACTTGAGGCAACCAGTCTGACTAGTCTTCCTTAGATCCACACAATGTTGTAGCTCTATTACCAGTGGTTTTAATAGTCCCTTAGATACTGATATTGCATATACTGCACTCACTAGCACAGTACCTTTGGGTACCTTGAAATTACCACCAGCTAGTGCAGTAACAGCTACTTCAGTATCCTTGGACACTGCTCCTTGAGGACATTCCAATCTGAATCCATATTTCTCCCACTGGAGTGAGTGAGACCTGTCTCCTTGTAGGATAAAGAGCTTCCGTCCAGCTATAATGACACTAGAGTCTAGTGAATCTGAAACAATACAGACACATCATATCTAATACGAGTATAGCACACACACAATCATTCACATGTGTACATGTACATGAATAATTTACCCATTGAAGGGATCAGGTAATTAAATTGTAGTCCAATGGAACGAGTCTCTTTGATAGGTTGCTTGAGGACCCTCTCTTGTCTTTCCTTCACTAGTTTGGCTATGTACAACTCCTTTTCTTTAAGGTCTATAAATTAATAGAATATTAATAATTATTATTGATTGATGATGATACACTAACCAGTAATGATCTGTTTCTCATTCTGTGATTGTTCCTCTACTTGTGATGTCAGTTTGGCTATAACTTTGTCTTTCTCAGAAATGAGATTTTGATTGTCGTCTACACAATAAACATATTCTCTCATCTAATACATGCTGTGTGTAAAGTTAACTAACCAATAATGAACTGTTTCTCCTTGAGATATTGTTCCTCCTTCTCCTCCGTATCAGCTACTTTGAGTTTCAGTTTCTCATAATCTTCTACATTAATAGAATATTCTCTCATCTAATATTATGTATACTGATGATACACTAACCAGTAATAATCTGTTTCTTCTCCTCTACTTGTGTCTTCTCTTCTAATATTTCAGCAACTTTAGCTTTAAGCTTCTCATCATATTCTATTATCAGTAAAAATACAAAAGATAGAAAATAAAATGATATTTGTTGCTTAAACTAATTTGTACTTCATGTACAGTAGCCCATAAATACATGTACTATGATTATTGCTAAGAATACCATATA